GAGAGACATTCGAAGAAGACAAATATCCTTAAAACAGAAGCTAATGATGAAAAAAAAAACGCTAATTTGGACATAACCTTATTTATATATGGACCTTTGAAATATAATATTGCTATTTGATCAAATTGAACCAACTTTACCTCGAACCGTATAGTTGTATTACCGAAACCCTCTTCAACTTAGCAGGGTAACAGTTAATTGACATCCCTTGTTAGCGTCTTGTATCTAAACCGTGTTAAATTTCTTACCAGATACTTGTACTGTAGAACCTGAGTAATTACTTTACAGAGTTTTACGTAATGGGATGAAAATTGGGTGTAAAATTAGAGTCGGACTGATTCTGGGTGGGGAATACTTCATTTTGAAAGAGTTCACCTTTTTTCCAAGCTAATTTAAAATACAACGTTTGTGTTGCAAGTTTATAAAAAAATAAAAAAGTTATGACTGTTGCAATTGCTCTTATTTTTCGTATACGGAATATGCTCTTCTAATTACTGTTGCCCGCTGTTATAACAACAAACGCGGGTAACACCGCGGGTCTCAGCTAGTAAACGATATAACTAAATACGAAATTTAAAAGCTTTCATTTTCTTTATGCCATTTTTTTTTATTTCATGTCTTAAATATCATGAATTTTAGCTAATAAACTGTTGACTCCCTAATAATTATCTGATATAAATATCACTCTTATGTTAAATTATGCTTGTTAAAAAATAACACAGATTATAATAAACTTTCTTTCACATAAATACCACGAAAATCTGATGCGCAAAACTCATAGAAATCTTACTAATTAATACGATTATATATGGCAAAACTACAATTTAAAAAAATTAGTCTGTCACTGCGCAGACTTAGGTACCTGTCCATCAATGTCAGTGATGAGTAACGGTGGGAGATATCTGTCAATAACATCTGATTGAGATACGGATTTTCGTTTTCCTGTTTTTTCTCAATATTTTTGTTATAAAAGCTGGTGGTATTGCGCTCAAATTGCGGTAAAGCCTTACTATTTGTTGTCATGTGTTTTGTCTGCTAAGATAATTTTATTTATTCTTTTAAAGGCCGATGGAAGATGGGCCGCGTTCTATCAGCCACCAATTTTATCAGCGGTCTTATCGCAGTCTGAGATAAGACCGATCTCTTACAGACTACCAGGATGTAACTACACTGTAACGTAGTACTTAGGTATGTCATGATGCAACAACTTCTAGATAATGAGCAAAAGGGCTGTTATGATAGTGACCCTGACTGCTAAGCCGGAGTTCGGGGGATTGATTCCCACCCTGGGTGTAATTATAAATATGTTTATCAGCAGTCTGGTTACTATAGCACAAGCTCTGCCTAGTTTGGGATCAGACGGCCGTGTGTGAGATGTCTCAAGCTATTATTAATTGCGAGAAGTGAACTCTGAGGTTTCAGTATATTTCTCCAGCCATAAGTCGTCTCTCACAATGTAGAATGTTATCCAATTACCGTCGTCTGTGTAGGGGTGCCTAGCCCCAGTTATTAAGCCGATATGTCTATGAGCGAGATTAATCAAATTAATAAAGGCGAGTATGGCAATTAGGCACCCCTGTCTCGGGTTAATATCATTAAGAAGCAAAGGTACTTTAAGCAAGGCGTGATGGTATCAAATTGTGTTAATATGCGCTGTGTTAAGCTCTTTAATGCTTTATGAAGCGCTTTAGGGTGGCAATTTTTGGGACGATTTATTATTAGTTAATAAGTGAACGGTTTGGATATAGCAAACTTTAGAATAGATTAGAATAGAATAATCTTTATTGTACACCTGTTATATTATACATACAATAGTATTCCAATGACCATGTACAAATGGCGGCCTTATCGCTAAAAAGCAATCTCTTACAGGCAACCTTTGGATGTTTGCAAACTTTGTTTGATTAAGGGAGGCAACTTCAGGGGTCGATAACCTATTCTTAATTGAAATCTTTCACGTAAATGTTTATTCCCTTTGTTTATGTTATTCTAATGTTAATAAGATCTGTTATTATAAAAAACAACCCACTGGTTTTTAGTGGAAACACCACATACTCCTGGCACCTATATCCCCAAGGAGCCGGAAATCCGAAGGAATTTTCAACTACGTCAACGAAAAAACAATATTTTTTAGACTGATACCATGATGCTAACGAGTATTTTGTTTTATCCGTTTGGATTTAAAAACTTATTTTCGTATTTTATACAGAATGGGAAATAGAAGTAATATAAATTAAAAAAAAACAATTAGTGGAAGTTTTAGGCAGTAATACAACGATACGTAACTTAGAACTTAGCTTTAAGTTACTACTTACTTAATTTTAGAAGAGCAGTGGTTTGATAATAAAAAATCTCAAAGATGACGTAATATGCTCACAAAATCAAGTTGACAAAATCCATTGTCTCTTAAAATAAAAACCATTGTTACGATAGGGTGTCAATAATTTTCCCAGACAAAAACGAAACGTGTGCTTTAGACATCACGACTGAAGTAAAACTTCTTGGCTATGAGAGAAAGAGAGAAAGAAAATGTGTGCTCGCACCTCTCTCTCTCTCTCTCTTGCCCTACAGTAATATACGAAACGTCTCTCCCTCTTTCTATCTTCACTAACTTATATCTCTCTCTCAACTTCCGTTCGCCTCGCCCGATCACACTTTTCGTAACGCTCTCGTCACGCATTCACCAGCTTACTCCGCAAGTCAAGCATGCGTAAAGAAGTTTTACTTTAAAAAAAAAAAATCAAAATTCAAAAATCTGATTTGCATTCGAATATTGAGATTATTAAATCGAGTAGTTTTTTATCTGTAGTAGACTAAGAACCATAAACAAACCATTTTTTTCTTTCTCATAACAAGTTGACGAAGGAAAAATTCACCGTTCATTTACCAGGATCGTTATGGACGACAAAAAAACAAATGGACACCGTCGCTCCCGGGCAGACGTGATTTATGTATATACCTAACGACTTTAGAATGTCGCGAAATTATGTTACTGACAGACCGAGTATGTTATACTAGGAGATTATGAATGACAATATTTGTTAAATAAAACTGCTTAGATGTCGCTGCTTTCTCTATGATTAATTTTTATTTTCTTTTTAATTTATTGTATTGAGAACGTGGTAATTTGTAATTAAGTTATCGTGATAGAGAAACGTTGTTGTTTATTGTAGAAATCTTCGCGGGTCATCACCTCATTAGGACTGACGGTGAAGTGAACAAACTAGGGGTCACCTCAGATTCAATGATGTCAGCTCAAGCACGTTTATTTATTTAAATCTTTATGCACAAATGTGGCAAAGGCGGACTTAATGCCGTAGGCATTTTCTACCAGTCGACCTTAGGCCGATGCAGAGCCAAACGTGGTAGATTTTTTAAAACTATAGCATATATAGAATATCATATAACCAGAGTACTTATATAAATAACATTGGAATAATTTTAAAGATAAATACAATAAGTAATACACATATAATACTAATACACATAAATATACATACATATACATTTATATACTTAAATACACATAATATAAATTCTAAATGGAGAAAGTATAAAATTAAGATGGATTTGATAGAGTATTTAAAAAATGTTGCCGCTACAGGTATTTAAATGTTTGCCGAGTTTTTGCCATCCTGTGCCACGTTCTTTGTGATTTGTACACCTGTAGGTGCTAAGGATAGCTCGTGCGTATCTGGTAAGCTGTCTGAGAATAGTGAAAGTAACATTTATTTTTAAAGAAATTCAGATGGGAATTTAGGAATTACTATTAAGTACTATTTACGTAGGAATATATCCTGTGTCTCGGGGGACTTTACAAACATACAAGAAACGGACACAAATAACACCCAGACTCAGAACAACAATTTCTGGATTACACATGTGTCGTCCCATGTGGGGATCGAACCCACAACACTCAGCGAAGTAGTGAGCGGCGTGGCGACCGTTTAAACCACTACGCCATCCGTGCAGTCATACAAGTCAGCATCTAACAAGAATAAACTCTTTTTGCATTGTCATTTATCGGAAAATCGTCATCGAGAAATTGAAACTTCCTTAGCGGAGGTTACAGATTGGGGTCTACTGAACCTTGTCCATTTTAATCCAAAAAAGATACCGTTATCGCCTCGGTTTGAGAGCACCTCCCTAACTGCTTTAGCCAGTAACGGAATCCTAGGCATCGACATATCGAGCGAGGTCCAGTTTAGGGTCACTTAGAGGGTACGGTCAAATTGGCCTCAAAGAAGCTCGGTGTCCTGAACAGATCGAGGCAGTATTTCACTTCGGCCGACAACTCTATAGGGCACAAGGGCCGCATGTGAAACACTGTTCTCATCTCTATGCAGGGGCACCTCACTACCAGCTTCTCTCTCTGGACCGTATCTAACGAAGAATGCCAAAACATCTCCGACCGACTCGATCCCTTGGCGTTACGTAGAGATGTAGCTTCACTCTGCATTCTCTATTGTATAGCATGGAGAGTGTTCCGAGGAATTGTTCGGAATAATACCGGCCGTAACTTTCCGCCATCGTTCCACACGGTAAAATTTCATCCTCAACACTTTGACACTCCACCACTGTGCGGTTTTTAAGACACTTTTAGCCTCGCACAACCAATCTGATGCACAAGTTTTCGTATTTCGGTTTCGGGAGTTCCACACCGATACGACCTTCAAACCTTACCCAAGAGCTTACTCCTTCTTAAAAGGCCGTCAACGCGCTTGTGACTCCTGAGTTGCAGGCTTTCAGGGGCGGCGTTAGTCGCCCATGAAACCAGGTGACCCGTCATTCATAAAAAAAAAATTGTCTCGGTTTTTACTTTACAATGGGTACATTTAATGACCGATATTTGACAGTGATGTGTACTCATAGCAGAACATTCATATTGTTTTTACTGACTCGACTGTAATATGATATTTTGATTTATATTTGTTCTTTGAGCGAACCCTCAGACATTTTGCTAAAGAACACGCGGCAACTGCACGTTATTAGATGTCAAGATGGAGTACTTTATCCAAAACATAGAAAATACAGACAGTTTCGCTGAGGAAATTGATCAGCAGAAAATAACCAAAGCTAATCCGTACTCGAACGGTTTCAGTCATGATTGGGACACGTACCTCCCAATAAGAAAGCTTGAAGTAAATTAATTAGAGAGCCAACTGATTGGCGTCCGGCCGGACACGTGGTCCGGACGTGAGGCTGGCCACGTGCGGACTCCGGACGTGAGTCGGCGTATCCGACCCTACTTGCGGGACAATATGAACGTGACGCGGAATACTGGTGAAATGAAAAAGTTTTAATTTCGCTTTTTTTTTCGTTTAGAAACTGTGCCGTCAATTGCAGTGAAAGGTTATGGTAATGTTGTTATTGGTTTAATTATAAAAAATAAATAACACGGTCGGAGGTAGTGGGTTCGATTTCTACGAAGAAAAGACATTGTGTTTTGAGTGCATTTATTTATTTGTAATAATATTTTTATTTAGAAATTTAAGTACCCCGTTAACGGGAAAATGTGGGTGTTTACGACGCTCCTGTCTACCCCTTTTGGGGTTAAAGACATGGATGTTTATATATTTTCGCTTGTTTTTTTTATTAATTTCTAAGTAAATTTTTTATTTTTTTTATTTTTAAGCAATTTTCGTTCGTTCAGAATATAATGAATATCATAATACTTGAGCTCTATGAAGAAAAAAGTACAAAAATTTAAACAAAATTCGTTGCATTTAAAAAAAAACGAAAATGTCATTCAATCATTACAAAATTACATACACGGTGCCAGAGATATATCAAAACACACAGGTTACCTTACATTTAGAAGATACGAGTAATAATAGGGGTTAAGGTATGAAATTGCCGTTCTATAGTAATAGATAATTTGAATTGACATAAAACCTTCATGGTGTGAGATTTTCGTGTAAAACTATTTCCACATGATACCTATGAGGTTCTTCTTTTAAAAAATGGAACATTCGATTTTCAACTTTCAAATGTTTTTTTTTTATTCAGCTTAGACGTGAAAGATGGATGCTTCGAAAATCCGAGTCATTTTTTAATACGGAAAGCATAATGTATAGATAATAAGGGTAAATATTTTGATTAAATAAATATGTTATATCTTAGAAACAAACAAGTTTAAATTTTTCAGTACAATACGGCAATTTCATACTTTAACCCCTAACAGTTACCGAGATATTGAATATATATATATTGAATAGTAAAGTTCTTTCACAAATTTTCACATACCAAACTAGTCATACTTTCTCTAAATAATAAACCAAATCACATCTGAAAAAAGATCGTAAGTTACGCCGCGTGCGTAGCCCGCCCCATCGCATAAAGCTGTCATCGATCGTGATCTGTTAAATGTTCTCTATTACGTTCAACAGATGGCGTTGTTACAAAAATATTCTACATCCCTTTGTACCGCGTGATTTGTATCTCAGCTATGACAGCACACTGACAGATGACATAAATTCTAGTTTTTTATTGTACTCTATTAGTTACGGAAGTTTTGTTGTGGCATGGAGACGAGTAATATTGCGGTATGCAGACTGTTGGTTTGATTTCAAGGTATATATTACGATTTTATAGAAAATTCTAGATCTATATTCGAAATTTTGAAATGTAGACGAAAATTTATGGTTTTTAATACGATGTCTATTTTTCAGTTTATTTTCTGTGAACTGTATAAAATACAAATATTTTTTATATTTCATTTAAGAAGTCAAGAGAAGGAAAAACTTGACACAAACCCTATGTCCAGCAGTGGACTATTAAAGGCTGTTGATGATGATGATGATGATGATTTAAGAAGGGATGATCCCTAAATCTCAATAATATTATATTATTAAAAAAAAAAAAAAAATTCAAATCTCTTTTTTTTTTTAAACAGTAGGTATCTAAATTGGTTACTTTCCACTTCGTAAGTTAAATTTGGAAGTATAAAAGTTAGATTTTCGTGAGTAAGGATCGAATTTAAAACATTGGAGAGACATGCTTCAACTGGACTGATCCCACTCCTCACAGAAAACCTTAATCTTAAAGTAATTCATTGTATTTTACCGAGTGAGTGACGTCGCAGAGACCCAACTCCTCTCCTAAATTCTGGCATGACCCTCAACGGCTCACGACGCACTCCTGACTCCAGAATTGGAGATAACCATGGGCAGCCGTAGTCACCTTCTGGTCTGACCCCCATACCATAAAGAAATCGCCTTGTATCATTACAAATATTCTACTATACCCAATAATCGTGCACATAATTTCTCACCCAATGTTATGACATCACATAACTTTTGTTACTCCCAAGAATTGGCAGCATCTATATTAATCCAGCCCCTACGTTAAATAAATAAAAGATATTAATAAACACGTTTACCTCCCACCCTACGCTTCTAATAAGTGCAATAAGTAACTCTGTAAATAAAATAAACGACCATCCAGAAGGCAGGTCCTATACAGTAAGTTATTACTGTGCATTTGCCGCCGCGGGTACCTATTTGCGAAGTAATGACTGCATATGTCTTTCCCACAAATGTTTAGTACACGTTCACCTTAAAGTTCATGTTTGTTTACACAAGATAGAACTTGAACTAACGGTCTACGCTAAATAATTAATCACAGATTAATTTATTTCCTTTGAATTATACGAGTACTGTACGCTAGTATGAGACGACTTAAATCGTAGTAATTCTACGCCATCTAACGAAAGTAAACTGAACTATATACTTGACTTTTTTGAATCTCTGATCCTGCATCGCGCTATGAAACTTCACGAATTATTTACGCGTTGATTGACGCGTTGCGTTGCTTACATATGTGTTAATAGTATCAATGTAGTTAAGTAAATTTATTTCTTAATTTACTGGTCTCACCAGGATAAATTATAAACCTGTTGTGCAGACCGTATAAAAGTGTTTACTAAAGGGGTAAATCACATCAAAAGGTGGAGCTTTCTGCACCAATGTCACCATTATCCATCTACTCATGAAAGTTTATATTCCAATCCTCACATCATCACATCAGATCTTCACCATCATCAGCCTCTCGCTGTCTACTGCTGAATAGAGGCCTCATCACTGTATGTAAATATCCAAAGTTAACGTCCACTCAAATCTAATCAAGCATATTTAAATATTCGGAAATATTAGTGTCTTTTAGAATTCAATGAGATTCTCTGAATAATCTGCTACCCCAGATGTTATTAATTAATGTAAATACACCGCACTAACATCGTCGAGTGTTGTCTGTTTCGCATTCCACAGAATTGTAATCATATATTTTTCTGTTGTTGTAGAATGCAACTGCAACGGCCACGCACGTCGCTGCCGGTTCAACATGGAGCTCTACAAGCTGTCAGGTCGAGCCAGCGGGGGTGTCTGCCTCAAATGCAGGCATTATACTGCAGGCAGACACTGCCACTACTGCCGGGAGGGGTACTACAGGGATCCCACCAAACCCATCACCCATAAGAAGGCTTGCAAACGTGAGTATTTGAATTTAAATAATTGTAGGAAAAAAACTAGACTATTAAGTTTATAAGTTAGGTGTAAACAGTAGTACCGGCTTTAATTTGTCTAAACGTTAATTACTTGATTTACCATTTCAATTTGCGGACTTTTCTTTAAATATTTATGGGGCCACTCTGAGATTTAACTTTTCCAATTAAAACAGAATTATTCAAAAGCTATTTACTGTTGCGATGATGTTACTTTTACTCAGAGATTCCTTCTTTTTCAGTAAAAAAATATAGCAAAGTAGTAAAAACTTTTAAAGTATAGTTTTTAATAGTAATATGACTATGACTGACACATAAACTTACACTAACAGTAGTGATTAGTATAATTAGAGATTATCTATGTGAGAGGCTGGTGTCTGTACTAGGAAACCAAGAGACCTCATCATCATCATCGTCATCATCAACAGCCTTTACTAGTCCACTGCTGAACATAGGCCTCTCCTTAGAAAGGAGGTTTTGGCCTACTACACCACGCTGGCCAGACGGGTTGGTATAGGGTTTGTGTCAAGTTTTCCTTCTCTCTGCAGTGCTGTTATCCTGCGTATTTTGCTCCCTTAGTCGCCTCTTACGACACCCACGGGATGAATAGGGGTGGTGACACTCTGTATTCTTAATCCGTCACCACACGAATAACACCCATTAGAGGATGACTTAATTACTACTTGCTTACAAGAGACCTATAAACATTAAATGTCTTAAAACGAAAGTTACACATTCGTGTGTAAACATGGCCAGTGGAACCTGATCGAATCCTCCAAAAGCCATCACGTAACACTTACAGTTGTGTCATTTTATACCACTAAGCGCGCTCATGCATATTAAGACTGCAAGCGTTGCTGACTCTGTAAAATGATCAATGCTTTTAAAAATCTGTAGTCACTTACCATTAGGGTCTCGTGGCTAAGTGGTAATAGAGTAAGTTAACACCTTGCAAAGCTAAGCAATCCTAGCCAGGTCAGTCTATGGATAGGAAGTCATTCTTCTCCGAAAGCACGTTAATTCGCCGGCCCCGGTTGCCATACTAATATCTGTGGCAATCGTTACGGGTATTGGGAGCCCGGCAAAGTCCAACAAGTCTTTCTACAGAACTTTGATATCGTCTGGTACTTGGGCTGTGGAGGTCTGATGACAGTTGCTCCACATAAAAATCTAAGTTCAGCCGTATCTTAGTAGACTTAAAGTCGACTCCAACCTAGTTTGGGAAAAAGGCTCAGAGGAGTCTCTTACTATTAGATTCCCACTCTGCTGCTTTGCTTGAACGTCTTTACAAAATCATGAAAAGTTATTTAAAATTTTGAAAGCTGCGGAAAATATTCGTTTGTAACTTAGACGACTAACTTACTTACTTCAGTGTGAGCTCATAACTTTCATATTAATTTAAACAATAATACTTAAAAAAAACCGGGCAGGTACGAGTCGAACTCGTGCGCCGAGGGTTTCGTACCTACCCAGATTTTACGTAGGTTTTCGCGAAAATATGTAAATATCAAAATTTATCTTAATTTTCAACTTTTTTTATTTTTTGGAATTATTCCTTTATTTGTGCTGTAAGACGTTTCTTTTTCGTCGTCAACGGGAACTACCATATAGGTTTTTGACCCAAAATCTATAGGGTACTTCCGGTTGATCTAGAATTGTCAATTTTGGTTAAAAGCAAGGTCTTACAGCACAAGTAAAGAGAAAATTCTGAAAAATAAAACAAGTTGAAAATTAAGGAAAATTTTGGTACTTAAAAGTTTTCGCGAAAATTTAAATTTGCCCATATCTTTTTATCGTGTTGACTCAGGACCTTGACTTTTATACACCTAATAGACCTCAGTATCTGGTATAAATTTCAACTTGCTAGGTCTACCCGTTCCTGAGAAAATCGGTGGTAACACACGGACAGACGGACAAGAAAGTGATCTTATAAGGGTTCCTTTTTTATCTTTTGAGGTACGGAACCCTAAAAACAATAATTTTAAAAGCCCATTAAGTAAACGCATTTTATTTGTAGAACGACATGTTTTAAGGCCAGATAGAGATTAAATTATGGAGCAATAAGCTCCTAATACTCATACCTGTTTGAAGAACAAATATTCTGATACCGATCTGATATTATCTCTGTGCAAATATACTTTTACTTTATTTAATAAACACCTTCGCCGCATACAAACGTTCACTTATTAAGTAAACGTAGCTTTTTAAAGAAGAAATACCGCATTTAATAATGTTTAATTACGTGAGAGTCTCAGTTACTTAGACATTTTGGTAATATCTATCTATTTACCATTATCATCAACAGCCGTTAATAGTTCACTGCTGGACAGAGGCCCCTCCTTAGCAAGGAGGTTTTAACCTACTATACCACGATGGCCATTTATCTATTTCTATCACCTTTCTATCCGTGTGGTGACGGATTATGACGGAGTGTCACCGCCTAACTTTATCCCGTCGGTGTCGTAAAAGCCGACTAACGGAGCAAACTAAAGATTACAGCATCGTAAAGAGAAGGAAAGCTTGACACAAACCCAATAGCAACTCGTCTGGCCAGCGTGGTATAGTAGGATAATACTTCCTTTCTAAGGAGAAGCCTAGGTCCAGCAGTGGGCTATTAAAGGCTGTTGATGTGATGTGATTGGTAACTTAGTATATTCTTGTCCATATTCCTTTAGTCCTACAATTTTAGTTCCATTTACGTTATAAAGGGTATGCCTAATGCAATCAACTGTGTATTTTAGGTATTAGACAGGTAAATTGGAAATATATTAAAAAGGGATGTATAAATAGGGATGGCAATATCAGGAGGGGAATATTTCCCACACGGGGGGGGGGGGGGGGTCGTCCCACACGGGGGGGGGGGTCGTCTACCTGTTGTTGTAGATGACCCGAGGTATGTCGGGGCACCAGGGACTTCCTTTCTAGGGTATACCTGGTTCCCCGGCTATTAGTACCCGAGACGGCGTGCGGTTTTAGTCAGTTCGAGTCCCACATGCCACCGACAGGTGGTATCCGAGGGGATTTCCGCACGGGAAAAAAAAAGGAGAGGAATATTGCTTATATTTTTTCTATTTGCCATATTACAACAAACTCCAAGTCATACAAAAATAACAATAAATATTCTAGACACAAGTAGTAGTTGGACTCCGGTACCCATTATAAGATTAAACTTGTGTTCTGGGTACCGTTGTAGATGACCATGGATTATGTAAGAATTTAAAAAAATTAAATTGGGTGTCGCCGAAAAATCTGTCAATAATTGTAACTAAAGAAGGATCCGCCCGCACATCCTCTAATAATGGGTACACGTTTGACCAGACAAACAGACCCACCATGAATACTCATTTACATTTATGTTTTGAAGTACCCACATAAAGTTAAATATTTTGTATACTTAGCTTAGCTAGCTAGCTTAGCATAAGTTAGTTTTGAGTGCGGACTTGTGGCTTCTCTAGCAAAAGTAATAAGTTTTTCCACGTATCTTTATATACCTTCACGTGAAAATAGGCTTGTGTCCACTAATAACAAATTGTTTGGTTTATAATTTCAAATTATAAATGAAAAGACATAGAAAAAACCAGTCTATTTCTCATAAAAGTCAAAGATTATTAATATTTTTAAAAAACAAATTCGAACAAAATAGGCATTAAGTCACGTGACAGCGAACACCAATCAGAAAGTGTTACGTCACGCCACGCAAAACATCATTGTTGTTGTTGACGTTTTCATACAACAGAGCAGGGTACTCCTTATTGGTTTTTGTTTTTAGCATATTTTCTCACCTTAATACAGTTTTGTTTCGCAGACTGTGGCGTCATTCAAGACGCCATGACACTATTCAGCGTTTTCAAAGAAAATTTAAATTGTTTTTTTTAAATACAAAATACGTAATGTAAATATTGCCTTTTCTTTAAAATATAGTTTTTTTTGCTATAAAATAGATATTAAAGTATATAACTAACCAAGTTTTCAAATTGATTCAACTAGCCTATTCTGCAAACATATTTTATCTTAGTGTTGACATAATATTAACTTTAACATCACCCTTTTCAGACCCAAGGGAAGACCCAAAAACTATATTGACGGAACTCCTCAATCCGTTTGAGTCCCTAACAAAACAACCTCACATTGTCAAACCCCAAAATAAAAGAAAATCGCAAAACAAAGGGGTGTCGATCGTAAAAAGTTAGAATAAGACCATGCGGTCATTTGAATGGCCTCAAGGGTCTCAAGACAATAGTTTGCTTACAGAAATTGCAAAATCGGGTTGGCCTCACTTGACCGCAATTGGCGCTGAGGGACCCTTCAGTTTTATTTGACGACAACGTTAGGCTTTTCGCTGATTGAGTCAAGATTGGGATAGTGTGGAGAAGGAAAGTGATGTGTGAATAGGCTTGGTTTAACGACACCATGGGTATTGAAAACGCTGCGAAACCTTGGCTATGCACATTGAAAAGTGTGTATGGTTTTTAAATTCAATCAACTTCTATAGCATGCCCACTGTTGGACATAGATTTCCAAGTGTTTCAAAGCGGTTTGCTACCACTGCTCTGCAATCTTTACTGGTTCATTTCTCCTCTTTGTTTATGTATTTATCTTGGTTCGTGATTTCCATTCGATAACTTTTCGGGCGCTATGGTCATGCGTCCTGTGTACTATGTGCCATGCAAAAATATTTTTTTGTTTGGGAGGGTATTACTTTCCGTAATGTATTTGATTTGAAGAAAATATACACTCCAATTGGTTTTCAAAATAAAAGAAGAATAAAACAATTTATAACGATTCTTTTCTATTTTGTACTCGTATTTGTATTCGTTTCTTTTCTTATATGGTATAAGGGGGCAAACTAGCAGACGGGTCACCTGATGGTAAGCAACTACCGCCGTCCATGGACACCTAAAACTCAAAAGTCATAAGTGCGTTGCCGCCCTTGGTGTC